GACTCCAACTCAAAAAAATATAAATAAATAAATAAATAAATAAATAAATAAATAAATAAAAATTAGCTGGGTGTGGTGACAAATATCTGTAGTCCCAGCTGCTCAGGAGGCTGAGGCAGGAGGAATGCTTGAGTCTAGGAGGTCAAGGTTGTGGTAAGCCAGGATTACGCTCCTGCACTCCAGCTTAGGCAACAAAGTGAGACACCAATTAAAAAAAAAAATTGAAGAAATGGGGGCCAGATGTGGCAGTGGCTCACGCCTATAATCCCAGCACTTTGGAGGTGGAGGTGGGAGGACTGCCTGAGCTTAGGAGTTTGAGATCAGCCTGGGCAACATAGCAAGACCCAGTTTCTACTAAAAAAAAAAAAAAAGAAAGAAATTAAATGAAATGAAACAAATTGTTTTGCTAGATTAGCAATAAACCTTAAAATTAGAATCTAACACCATACAAAATATAATATGCTAAAGTACAGTCAAACTCTAATAAGTCTCTGGGTATAGTATGAATCATCAAAACTTGTAAGCCTATAGTTAGCTTTAAACCCTTTTGCTTGCTACCATAGAAACACTTCAAGCTCTGGCTTGCCCTGTTGGGAAACACATCCCCAGAATAACACTGTTGTTGCATACTATGCTGGCTTTACAGGAGCAGCAGTGTTTGAATTATTTATTTGGTTCTTTACAAAACTGCAGTCCAGATACAATTATCTATCCATAAAATGTTTATCCAACTGTGTAACTGTACGCAGGGGTTTTGCATTTTGAAAACATTCTGCAGTAATAAGTTAATGATTCTACCCAGTATTCCTGACAGCTAACTGACTGGGTTGGTTTCACATGTACTGGGAAGGCAGTCAGGCATTTGGAAAGTTCCATGGCTTGTGAAAGGTCACCAAGCCTGAGCCTGAGGGGCATTGCTCTGCTCTGGACTCTGAGTACCCAGATTCTTGCCCTGGGTGCATATCTCTGAGCCACCTCTGCCTAAAGCAGTTAAATAAATAAATACATATATACATATACATATATATATAATTTTTTTGGTCAGGCACAGTGGCTTACACCTGTAATCCCAGTACTTTGGAAAGCAGAGGTAAAAGGATTGCCTGAGCCCAGGGGGTTCGAGATCGGCCTGAGGAACCTGACAAGACCTTGTCTCCACAACAAACCAAAAAGTTAACCAGGCGCAGTAGTGTGTGTCTATAGTTGCAGCTACTTGGAAGAATGAGGTGGAAGGATCGCTGGAGCCCAGCAGGTTGAGGCTGCGGTATATGTGATCGTGCCACCGCACTCCAGCCTGGGTGACAGAGTGAGACCCCAAGTTTCTTTTTTTTGAGTTGAAATCTCACTCTCTCTGGAGTCTCAGCTCTGGCTGGAATGCAGTGGCACTATCATGGCTCACTGCTGCCTTGACCTCGTGGGTGCAGGTGATTTTTCCACCTCAACCCCCTGAGTAGCTGGGACTACAGGCATGTGCCACCATGCCCAGCTAATTTTTTTTTATTTTTTGTAGAGACAAGGGTCTTGCTATGTTGCCCAGGCTGGTCTTGAACTCCTGGGTTTAAGCAATCCTCTCACCTTGGGACTCCCAAAGTGCTGGGATTACAGGCATGAGTCGTACTCAGCCAAAAGCAGATATTTATAAGCAACCTATTTTTTTTCTCTAAAGTGGAATGTTGTTTTGTTAATATTTTAAATTCTTAAATTTTTTTGTATTAGATGCTTACAAGCCTATTAGCAGAACTTTGTAAACAAAAAAAGTATATAAACAACACCTATCTGAACTGCTTGGTCAGTATGGTAGCCACCTGCGATGTATGGCTACTGAGCACTTAATATGACTAGTCTGAATTGAGACATGTTGCAAGTAGAAAATAGACACCAGATTTCAAAAACTTACTACAAGAGTAAAATATCTCTTTAATAATTTCCTAATATTGACTAATATTGCAATAATATTCTTGAGTCACGGTGTTAAATAAAACATACTACTAAAATTAATGTTCCCTGTAGCCAGGTGTGGTAGTGTATACCTTATAGTCCCAGTGACTCGGAAGCTGAGGCAGAAGGCTCACTTGAGCACAGAAGTTAGAAGCTGTAGTGAGCCATGATTGTGCCACTGCACTCCAGCCTGGGTGAGAGTGAGACTCTGACTCAAAAACTAAATAACTAAAATTAATTTCCCCCGTATCTTTTTACATTTTTAGGATATGGATACTAGAACATTTAAGATTACATATGTGAGTCGGCTGCGGTGGCTCATACCTGTAATCCCAGCACTTTGGGAAGTGGAGATGAGAGGACTGCCTGAGTCCAGGGGTTCGAGACCAGTCTGGGCAATTTGGCGAGACCTTGTCTCTACAATAAATCAAAAACTTAGCCAGACATGGTGACGGGAGCCTGTAGTTCTGGCTACTTGGATGGTGGAGGAGAAAGGATCGCCTGAGCCCAGCAGGTTGCGGCTGTGGTGACTGTGAGCGTGCCACTGCACCCCAGCCTGGGCGACAGAGTGAGACTCCAACTCAAAAGAAAATTTAAGAAATAAAAAATAAAATTACATATGTGGTTTTCATTATATCTCATTGTTAGGCAGTGCTGGTCTATACTAGTTGGAATACTTTGTAACTGAAATACCTATATGAATTACTCGGTTTACCTGTATGATGTCTACTTGTATACCTAATCCCGAATTGTACCCCACATCTTTAAAATAAAATATTTTTTAAAGTTACTCAGTACAATTTAAAAACTGGCAGACTTCTCACTTGTAAAATGTCTTAGCACATCTCAAAGATTTAACATTTTCCATCATTTCTTTACCCTAGACACAAATTAGTTTTAATACTGGCAGTGACAAAACTCTAAGTACACTACAGGATCTTACTTACACCATATAGCTTTTGGGCTTCTTTTCCAGTGAGTTTTTTTCCAAGTAATGACATAAATAGTACAACAACGCCATGAGGAAATTATCAAGATTCTTATTCCTATGGAGGGAATTGAAAAGGAAACAATCAACACTGATCTATTTTTTTTTTTTTTTGAGTTGGAGTCTCACTCTGTCACCCAGACTGGAGTGCAGTGGCCGTTCCCGGCCACCACAGCCTCGACCTGCTGGGCTCTGGCGATCCTTCCGCCTCAGCCTTCTAAGTAGCTGGAATTACAGGCATGCGCTACCGCACCCAACTGATTTTTTGATTTATTGTAGAGATGAGGTCTCGCTGCCCAGGTGGGTCTCGAACCTGTGGGCTCAGGCAATCCACTCACCTCAGCCTCCCAAAGGCGCGGGATTACAGGCTAAGCCACCGACCCTGGCTAACACTGACCTATTTCAAATACAAGTTTTCTCATTTAAAAAATATATGGGCATACAACATAATAATAATGTAGAAAAACATGTTACCATGCCTATTACACAACTAATCTACTATTTAAAAGTCTTTCTACTATCTACTATACTGTTGAAGATGTAAGAAACCTGGGTTTTGTAAATAAAACTTTTTGAGAGGTCAGACACTAAATTCTCATAGATGTGCTTATTAATTAATTTTCATTTAAAAAAGTTTTTATTATAAAATAAGTTCTATTATTTTTAAAATGTACAGAAAGTATCAAGTGAAAAGATCTCTCCTTTCACCCCTGTGTCACCATTCTACTCCCTAGTGGGAATAATAAATGTTTAGTATGGGCTGGGCATGATGGCTCATACCTGTAATCCCAGAACTTTGGGAGGCCGAGGCAGGAGGATTACTTGAGCCCAGGAGTTGGAGACCAACATGGGCAAAACAGCAAGACCTTGTCTCTACAGAAAATTAAAAAAAAAAAAAAAAAAAAGCAAGGTAGTCCCAGCTACTTAGGAGGCTGAGCAGAAGGACCACTTAAGCCCAGGAGGTTGAGACTATGGTGAGACACGGTCTCACCATTGCACTCCAGCCTGGGTGACAGAGCGAGACCCCAACTCAAAAAAAAAAAAAAAAGAGATTGGTATGAATCCTTCCTAAACTTTCTACAACGTAGATAATCACATAAAACATCCTCTCCCAGCAACGTGTGTGTGTGTGTGTGTGTGTGTGTGTGTGTGTGTGTATATAAATATATTCCTTAAAATATATTTTTGGTAATGAATAGGATAATGCTGTATATACAATTCTCTGCAACTTGTTTTTTGTCACTTATCTGAGTAGCATGTACCTCTTTCTATGAGATTATACCGGGGTGCCAAAAAAATACATACACATTCACTCAAAAGATAGCATTAATCAAATGAATGCTGGCGTCACCATGCTACATGCAGGACAGTCGAATTAGCCAGTGCAAACATTTACCAAGTGTGACTTGTTACCAATATATATTCAGTACTACAATTTTAAAAGAGTTTTTCCCTTTCTTAAAATGTGTATATGCTTTTTTTGGTACCCTCTGTATATAGTTTTTCTTCATTCTTTTAAATAGCTGAACACAGTATTCTATATATCATAATTTAGTCCTCTACTGAAGCATATTTAGGTCTTTTGAGATATTGACAGAAGTAAAATTGCTAGGACATAATGTATGTGCATATTACATTTTCATGTCTTGCCCTCCAAAAAGACCAAACTGATTTCCAATGCTCTCTCTCTTGTTTTTAATTAGGAGTCACTGTTTTCTTTCTGAATATTCTTACAAGACTTTTGCTGCCTGCTTTTTGGTCCCAAGTGGAAATTCTTATACTGGCATGCTTTCTTGAACTATATACCTTTAGAGCAGGGTGAAAGTGACCATTACAGACTTTTTTTTCAAGATATGAATAACTACCTGCCTCAGGTTGGGTCTGTTTCTAAGGAGACAAAGATTGGAGAGTAAGTAGTTTAGCTGGAAAGTGATTTCCAGAAACCACGGAAGGAAGGCGGAGAAATGAGACAGAAAAGAAAGCCAACAAAGAGGTGTTAACCCGTGCTGCGGGGACCCAGGAGACAGTGTAGAAGACAGCTTGGAGTTGATCTTCCAGCTCCCCTCTGATGAGCGCTGACTCCCCAGTGCTCCTGGCATGCCCTGCAGTCAGGCTGAGTGTGCTCCTGTGGTGGAGCAGGGCACTCAGGCCGAGGCTCTCTGGAGTTTGCCAAAGCAGCCCCTACATGCAGGCTGAGGGCTGGGAAGGGGTGCCGAGAGCACACCGTGCACACACAGTGCAGGTATCATGTGAGGCACAGCCACATAAAGGAGAAACAGATTACTTCTCAATTTTGCAGTTGAGGACACTGAGGCTTAGAAAGGGCAAGAAATTGGCTGGGCACAGTGATTCACACCTTGCACTCTGGGAGGCCAAGGTGGGAGGATCGCTTGAGCCCATGAGTTCAAGACCAACATGAGCAACATAGCAAGACTTTGGGTGTGGTGGCACATGCCAGTAGTCCTGGCTACTCAGGAGGCTGAAGTAGAAGGATCGCTTGAACCCAGAAGATATCAAGGCTGTGGTAAGCTGTGATTGTGCCACTGCATTCAGCCTAGTCAACAGTAAAGAAACCCACACCCCTATTATGTGTTAAAGGCATGAAACAACTAGTAGAAAAAACTGATCTTCTGTAAATGAGTATATCCTCAAACTATTATATAAAGATAAGCCCATTCAGGACTCTGATAGTATGCTCTCCATACCCCTCGCCCTGGGACTGTCTTTGGGGCTCCTCTGATTTCTAGCTTCCTCTCCCAGACTCCCTGGTCATAGTCTTTGAGGTTGAGTCCTGACAGGAAGGCTTGCTGAGCCAGCCTCATGCTCTTTCTCTAAAAATCAGATTTGTCATCACTTATCAGATGGGATTACTGCAAAACAAAGGACAAATTATCTAAACCATTTCACAAGCATGACATACCTCATAAATGTTGTAAAAGAACAGATCCGCTGAATCTCAGTATCTTGTAGCATAAGCAAAGCAACAACTGAAAGGAGAGAAGATGGACAATTGGAAGAGGAACATGCAACTGCCCTGAAGGCTCATGCAGTGTAACACAGACGAGGACTGGGAGACAATTACTCACATTTAACATCGTCTAGTGTGACGTTGCCCTGCTGGCCTCGTTTCTCTAAGGCTTTGGCTGACTTTTCATCTCTTGAGGCAAACCTTTTATCTGTCAACCTGTTTGGGAATAGAACAGTTTCTAATAGTGTGTTAAAATGTTATAGTTGTTTTTAATCTAGCCTGAGATACACAAAGTATTTGCTATAAAGTAATGAGAGCCTGAACGTCATGCATGGGTTTTGTTTCATGTAAGATCATTGTAGAATGCATGTTATTAAAATTACATTTAAGCCAGGTGTGGTGGCTCATGCCTGTAATCCCAACACTTTGGGAGGCCAAGGCAAGAGGTTTGCCTGAGCCCAGGGGTTCAAGACCAGCCTGGGCAACTTGGTGAGACCTCGTCTCTACAAGAAATTAAAAAATTATCTGGGCTTAGTGGCACACACCTGTAGTCCCAGCTACTTGGGAGGCTGAGGCAGAAGGTTTGCCTAAACCAAGGATGTCGAAGCTGTGGTAGCTGTGATCATGCCACTGCACTCTAGTCTGGGCAACAGAGTGAGACTTTCACTCAAAAATTAATAAATAAAAATAAAATAAAATTACGTTTTTATGTTGGAGCAGGAGGAACACACACTGCCCAGTATAAAATGCGAATACAAATTCCATCCAAAAGAGATAATTTAAATCATCTATTTTGGTGTATGTAGCTGTTATTTTCAGATTTTTTAAAACTATAAAAAGTTGAAAATGTGCTAATAACCAAGTTATCACAGGGATACATTTGCAGGGATTATTGTTATCCCCACCATATGAGGGGGGACCCCAAAACAACCAGAATTACCTTTTTTTCCTTTCCTTTTTTTTTTTTTGAGTAGGAGTCTTACTCTATCACTCAGGCTGGAGTGCAGTGTCATGCTCACAGCCATCACAGCCTCAACCTGCTGGGCTCAGGCGATCCTTCCACCTCAGCCTTCCAGGTAGCTGGAACCACAGGCCCGCGCCACCACATCCAACTAATTTTGTTGATTTATTGTAGAGATGAGGTCTCGCCAAGATGCCCAGGCTGGTCTCGACTCCTGGGCTCAGACAATCCTCTCGCTTCCGCCTCCCAAAGTGCTGGGATTATAGGCATGAGCCACTGCGCCCACCTGGAATTCTCTTTTGGAGGGCAGGCCCCCTGCAGTACAGGCTTCCCTGCTAGGTAAGTGTTCTAGGAACCCATCAGCATCAGCGTACCAGCTAGCGTTGTTGTGAGAGGCTGCCTTCAGCTCCAGTGATTTTTTTTTTTTTTGAGATTTTTTCAACACATTTCCCCATTTCATGATGGGTGATTTACAAGTGCACCTGCCCACACCACACTGAGTGTTCAGCATTTTTGACTCAAAACGGCATGACCCCTGTGCCCTGCCCCCATTCACCAGATCTCACCCTAAGTGATGACAAAGGGCCTCCAAGGGAAACATTTTGCCGATGTGGAAGAGGTGAAACCAAAATCAGCAAAAGCACTAAAATACATCAAAATGGACGGGTTTAAAAACTGTCTAGAACAGTAGGAAAAAAAGTCTCCACAGGTGTATTGCATCAAACGGAGAGTACTTGGAAGGTGACTGAAGTTGAAGCATGTAAGAATAAATACACAATTTTTGTATATAAATGCCGGGTTTTTGGGGGTCCCCCTTCATAATTCTGAAGTAGTGTGTATTCTTTCCTTGATGGGTATTTGCATTTCAACCTCGGATAATAGGAATGGTATTTTCTTGAAGTTTGTAAAGCTTAGGCCATTCTGCAGCCGGACTGAGACGTTAGGCTACCTGTCTGAAGCCGGACCGTCAATCTCAGTAAAGTGAACTGCTTTGCCTTTCCTTCCTTTTTCCCTGAGTTCCACTGCAGGTGTAAAACTGCAATAGAAAAAAGATAATTAGGAACTTACTCCTTTCTCAAGGGCAAACAAATCATATCATGACCACAGCTCATGTAATTTTAGGATTGGCACATATTATGAGCAGAGGCTGAAGAGAATCAGAGACACAGCAGCCTTTCATTCACATCTTTTTTTTTTTTTTTTTTTT